AAGCCGAACACTTAGGACAGTATTTTGCCTCCGTTTTTACTAGAGAAACAGAGTTTCGCTGTCGCAGTGCCGGCAATGCTCTTGAGACTGTTGGTCCCGTGCTTGACTCCATACTCTTCCCGGCAGCTGTCGTGGAAAGGGAGCTGAAAAATCTCAAAGAAGCAAAGTCCTCGGGTCCGGACAATATACCGGCCAAATTCTTGAAGGAACTGGCGAATGGACTTTCCAAACCACTGGCGCACATCTTCCGCTCGTCATTCGAATTAGGGAGGTTGCCATCGGAATGGAAGACAGCAAATATCTTTCCGATATACAAGGGCGGGGCTCGCACTAATGCTAACAATTACCGGCCTGTTAGTCTAACCCGCATCTGCTGTAAAATAATGGAGGCCATAGTTAAGAAAGCAACTGTGGAGTTCCTGGAGCAGGGCCATTTAATCTCAGACCTGCAGCACGGCTTTAGACAGAACCGCTCGTGTCTTTCCAGTTTATTGCTCTCGACGGAGCAATGGACTCGCGCACTGGATGAGGATGGGAGGGTTGATGTCATATACACAGACTTTAAGAAGGCGTTCGACAGCGTTCCACACAAACGCCTAATCTACAAACTTTCTGAAATTGGGATAAGAGGAAGGCTGCTGACATGGATAACAGATTTTCTTACCGGGAGATCGCAAACCGTGTGCATTGAGGCCTCAAGGTCAACTCCTACTCCCGTTCTAAGTGGTGTACCCCAGGGCTCCGTCTTAGGGCCGTTGCTATTCCTGGTTTACATTAACGACTGCGTCGACGACCTGGGATGCAGCGCCATCATGTTTCGTGACGATGTTAAGCTGTGGAGACCCATCAGATCTGATGCAGACATGTACGCGCTTCAAGACAGTCTCAACCGCCTAAACAGTTGGTCAGCTCGCTGGCTCCTCAATTTTAATGTGGATAAATGTGTAGTCCTGAGCCTCCGCACCAGACAGACCAGTAAGGAGGACGATTCCTTTCAATATGTCCTTGTTGGTCAGTCCCTTTCAAATGTTGTGGAACAGAAAGACCTGGGAGTCCTAATGACCTCCTCGCTGAAACCATCTTCACAGTGTCAAAGGGCAGCCAAAAGTGCGATAAGGGTGTTATTTGCGCTGAGGCGAGGATATGTGCAGATCGACAAGGAGCTGTTCGGAAAAACTTATGGGGCATTCGTCCGGTCTCACTTAGCGTATGCAGTCCAGGCCTGGCGACCGTGGTTAAAGAAAGATTATCAACGACTGGAAAGAGTACAGGCGATGGCTACGAAGATGGTCAAGAATCTTCATCATTTGCCTTACGAAACCAGGCTGACTGAACTAAATCTGTTTCCTCTAAATTACAGGCAACTGCGCGGCGATCTCATTCAAACCTACAGGATTGTCAGAAGCCGAGAGTGTGCCCTGGATTTTGATGAATTCTTTGAATTGGCCCGGAATGACCGTCTGCGTGGTCATCCGTTCAAACTGCAAAGGAAGCGGGCTCATTCGGACGTCCGACGGAGCGCCTTCTCACACAGGGTCATCGGGGCATGGAATGGACTCCCTGATGCCGTCGTTCTTTCCGAAAGTGTTAAATCCTTTAAGTGCAGACTAGACGCTCACTTGTTGAGAACCTACTGTACATACAATCATGATTGTTTTAGCGGCGGCAGTTTGCGCCTGGCTCACACTTACCGCTAACTTCTTAATTTTTTGCATTTGCTGATGTAATTGATGACTTTATTTCTGTTTATCGACATGAATAGGGTGCTCAAGGGCGAAAGCCTCATTCCCTTAATAAACTGACTAAACTGACTTAACCACGGGGACTTGATAAATGAAACACCAATCCAAATTCAAATGTGCCTACTCTGTCAAGCGCTTCTTCCAAGGTTTTCAACATAAGAGTCAAACAAACAGACGGCGTAAGTGCATCTGCTCCACCATCACCAGCGCATAGTCCTAAGTCATTACGTCATCTAGGAAACTACACTTCTGTAGAAAATAAAAAAAGAAACCGACAGAGGAACATTTCATAATATCTAAGGGATCCCTGAATCAAAGAAAATAATCATAAGGAGCAAAAGTCGAAAGACCTATCACTTTTGCAATGTTTACTCAATAATATTTTTGAAATCACTGCGGCCATTGAACTAATCAAAACCTGCCGCCTTGAACAACGAGTAGATAATCCATCAGTGTCGATTCGTTCCTGGCCTCTTAAAGTTGTGCTGGCCAGCAGCTACTAAGCCAGTCACATTCACTCCAGGCGATTCACGATTAAATTCGCCAACCCAGGTGTTTTTTTCAACCGAACTACCCGCCAGCGGAGCTCCCTAGACGACGCTCAATTGTTCTAAAAATAGAAAAGATGCTTAGCGAGGGGGAGGACAATTAAGTTATATACAACAACCAAGTACGGCGCAGTCCGTCACTCTTACTTTGGACAGGTCCGTCCCAGATGCAAGCACATCTTCCACCAATCGGAAATTGAAACTATTTTTAACCAACGTGCAGAGTTTGCTATCGAATTTCAAAGAGCTGAAGATCCACATCTGCGATCTATACCCTGAAGTTATGTCTTTAACAGAAACCTGGTTGTCACAACACGTAAACGACCGTAAGCTGGCCTTGTCTGGCTACAAGACAGGGAAGGACGTCAGGGAATAGGTGTAATCACGTATGTGAAAAGTGAGATAAATTTGTCAGACAACGCCGATACATATTCGTGCATTTCCTAGGCAATCTGGCAGTCTATTAAAGTGCCGAGCTCGCTTAGCCTCGACGTCCTTACAGTTTATCGACCGCCGATACTGGACATCATGACCGAGACACGCCTGCTGAAGGAGCTCGAACAGTTGGTTACCGGCCAGGTAATTTGATCATGGGAGACTTTAACGTGCCTCATACTGACTGGAGCTTGATCCATACAAATAGCTCTGAATACACCTTCAATTGGATTTTCTGAACGCGACACTGCAGTTATTTCTCAGTCAGCACGTCATGTTACCAACTAGAGTACGCGAAGGCCAACAAGCCAACGGCCTTGATCTTGTCCTCACATAGTCCACGGGCAGCATTGACGAGGTGTCATGACTTCACCCCTTAGGTAAAAGTAACTACGTCGTTCCTCTATGGGATAAATAGCTTTTTCCATGCCTAAGAAATCCGTGACAATCAGAAAGCCCTTTGACGCGGGGATTACGACCAAATAAGGGCTGAAATTATACGCATTGAGTAGTATTCCGTATTTTTGGAAGGATACTCGAAGATTGGCAACGGTTTCGAATTTTTTTCCTCAAGTTGAACACAAAATACTGTCCGATTTCACGGAGGAGTTTAATTAACATATTGAGATGCCCTACGCAGGCCATGAATAACGAAGTGATTAATAACGAACGCTGTAGAGAAAATCGTTTTCTGACAGTACCCCCATTTGTATATGTGCGTACAAAGTTCAAAGAAATCGAGTCAGAGGCCTTGTCCTCAAAAGTAGGAGGGCATTTGAACGGAATCTGCTTACCTGTACCGCGGAGAACCCTCAATTATTCTTCGGTTGCATAAGTAAGGCAGTGCACGCGGAACAACGACCCAATACCACTGTTAATAACTGCTTAAGGCGAGCACCTCAATGGAGACGGAGCAAAGGTTGATCAAATTTCAGATTTTTTTGGTCTGTTTTTAAAAGCTTAACAGTATTCAACCCTTCGACCCTTTAAACATTCGAAGACACCTCAACTATGAAGACGGTTCAGTTTGCTGCACGTATTGTTCTGACGTAGTTTTTGAGGTTAAAGGAATCTAAATCACCAGGTCCCGATGCGATTTCGCCAATGATTTTGAAAGAACTCGCCAGTGAGTTTGTAAAACCACTCTCCATGGTTTCCCATACATCCTTTGTGACCGGATATCTGCCAGCCGACTGGACGTCGGCGTGGATTTTGCCGCTGTACATGGACGGAAGTCGGGTCTCTGAAAACAATTAATGACCTATAGGCAGAATGATATTACCGACAAAGGCAAAGGAGACCGGAATGGCCATTTCTGGCTTATCAGCCGTCGTCAGCCAGCCATACCCAAGCCCGAAGTGTGGAACACCCTAGCCTCGAACTCGCGACCTGTTGGTTTAGAAGTCAACGCCCCTACTCACCGGGCCACGAGCCCGTTGCCCTGTCGGTATTCGATCGGGAATATACGATGTTAGGGGGCGCTCACCGATCGTTCAGCCTCATCTCCACTTACTACAAGATAACGGAGGAAACAATAAAGCAATAATTAATGCAGTCCCTTGAAATAACCATCTGCTTTCCGCTTCTTCGCAAGCAGATCTTGTGTGACAAACTACTGTCTGAAACAGTGGACTCGGGCAGGTGATAGAAGAGATATGGTGCATGCCAT